ATTTATGAGCGAAGATCTAGAAAACCACTATTGATTTGGATCACTGCTTACCTACTACCAACAGGTTTTACTAATGCTCCTTCTTGCAGTTATGAGCTCACTGTGACTTGAGCACTTTCCAAGACGCACCTGGTAAATGAACGCGTGGACGAGAGCAAAAAGCTCCATCAAGAATCTTCCCCTTCTCCCTACTCTGATTTATTTTCGTGGCACTTTCGGAAGCTTCTCAGATAGAAGTTGTTGCATCTCTGCTCTATCACACCGTTGTGATTACTGGCTGAGGAATCACTTTGGTCTTCCTGGCCTGCCTTTACCTTACGGCAGAATGTACACACTGTATTTCAGGACTGGGAGTTGCTGGGATGGCAGCTGAATCAACTCTTGATTCTGCTAATGCCTTTTGATGAAAAGGTATTATTTCATTAAGTTCTATTAATATAATTGCATTAATAAAACATTTTTTAAAAGAGCATTAACAAAGGAGAAGGAGGTGCCGCTATTCCAAAGCAGAGCTTTTCATAATGAGCTGAGAATTAGTATACAAGAATGCCATGCTTATAGAGTCCCTCATTCATTTTGGATTCTGATTACAACCCGACGGTCCCTGTGAGAGCTGCAATCCCTACTGTGCAAAGTGCTGCTCAAGAAGACATCAAGTCAGCAAGATACAGGAGCCTGGCTGGAGGATTACGGGTGATTTGCAGACAAAGATACATTGGAAGGAAACACGAGAAAGAAAAATAAAGGAGAATTCCAGGAGTGAAGCCCTGGCTCTTTTCAAGTCAGCAGAGATTTTGTCCTAGAACAAAGCTAAAATTTGCCCTTTCCTTTTTTTCCCTACACAGTGAGATGGCCTGCCCCTGGGCAATGGGCTCTCACCCCTCCACACCTGTGCTTGATGCAAGCCAAAACCATTCAGGGATCACATACGGGCTTTCTGAGCAAGGATGGGCTGGGAGGGGAGCAGTGAAGGGGGAAGATAACAAGGAGGTGCAGCCTGGGAAGGGCCAGCAGCAGAGAGGCAACAGCAGAAGTTAAGCACTGCCAAAGCCAATGGCTGCAAGAAACTGCAGTTTCGTGTTTGACAGAAAGAAGAAGAAGCTGGCAAAGCTGGGATGCCCAGAGCTCTTCCTTCCTCACCCAAAGGATAACTCACCTGAAGGCAAATAGAGAAATTCTACTAGCCGTGGCTACAAGACTTCTGCTGGTGGCTTTGAGGATGACACCATGCTACAGTAAGCCATGTCACCAGCAGCAGGTTCCCACCTGCATGGCCCAAAATTAAGAGAACGCTTCAAGATGTCAGCTTGGCAATCTCTTGTGAACTCATCGCCCGCTTCCCGGCAGTGGCACTCAGCCTCGTATTTACAGAGGTCTACGGACAGTTAGGATGGATCTGAGAGTGTGGGAGACTGGGACGTGATTACTGACTTTGCAAATGGACAAACTAAGAATTTCCCAAAGGATGTGGTTACACAAATGCACCTTCACCCAGGCCATAAATTGCATTTATTAATCTGGGTAGGCACACGCTTTTTTGGCAGTAAGTTATGCAGCTGAGCAAAAACTAATCAGCACTTAGGAAAGCTGTTGTCTCACTGACATTTGCACGATTTCTCCATCAGCTGCCAGCGAACATTCATCAAGCTGGCGGGACGCTGTCTCCTTTACTTTACATAAGCTGCTGTCTGGGAAGATTCATTTAACACCCAGCCATGTGCACTCCCAATAGCCAAGACTGCTCTCAGGTTTCCTATTTGCTTGTTTTTTCTCCTCGGAAGAAAGGGGAGGGCTGGCAACCTCACTGCAAGCAAGTGCAGAGCTCTCGGGACTTGGACCTTAACCTGCAGGATGGAAATCAAAACTGAAGTAGGCTGCAAAGTGACCCCATGAGTGACCACCAGTTTCCTCTGGGAAAAACAGACACAGTGCCCAAGACTTGCAGCATCCTTCACACTGACCACTAGACTGCCATCACCCCATGATTGCTCCGAGAAGGACTGCAGGAGACCTAAGAGAGCAGATTTGAGGCCAACAAGGAGAGAAGTGAAAAATGAGGTTGGGAAAGAGATCATCATAAAAGCAACCAGCCCTCCCTTTTACCTGCAGCCTCAGCTGGGGGCATGGATGAGTCCCAGGCAAACAGAGCGGACGGGCAAGCTCCATCCAGGCAGCTGGAGCCCAAAGACCTCAGAGATCTCCTAGGACCCATCGCAGGGCTATGAAGATCCTACAGGGGGTCACTAAACCATCTGCAAGCATGCAGAGAGACTCCTAATGGGTTTAGATTTACAACTGAACTTCAGTTTAGCATTTCATCGGTACGTGTTAATGATTTAGGGGCACAAGCATAAACATTTGGACAGCTGTCTCAGCTGGATGGCTTGTTGTCATGTTTATATTTTGTGCTTACGATCGCTGTGAGTCAGAAAGATTAGAGGTACAAAATCAGCCCACTAGAAAAAAAACCACAAACAGCCTAATTCTTTAAGAAACGGGTCCTTAGAAGTACTCTTTTACCCTGAGATAGTCACAGCTCCTGTCAGTGGTAAGAAAATAAAAAGATTAAATTGCATTTGGATTTTTCATCCTAAGTCTAAGAAATCCAAAAGGAAGATGGGAAAATTCTCCCAAATAGAAACCTCTCACCAATTCTGATTTCCCAGAGAAAACCAATTTCCTTGAGAAAATAATAATCCTAATTTGTGCAGAGATCAAGCAGCTGAAATTTCCACATGATGAGTCAGCCCTGGTGACAGCAATAGAGCAAGTACGAATGTTTGTATGCAGACATGCATGCTGAAAGACACTTGCAAAAGGTTTCCAAATGAAAGCTCTAATGGGCTGCCCATGGAGTGGTGGAGTCACTGCCCCTGGAGGTGCTCAAGACACGTTTAGATGTTGTACTAAGGGACATTGGAGGCATGTGGATGGTTGGACTGGATGATCTTGGAGGGCTTTTCCAACCTTGGTGATTCTATGACACCACTGACTCCACTTCCATTGAAAGCAGTCTGGTTTTGAGCTGGAATGACTGGAGAAAGCCTCTCTTCCTTGACAAAGACAGAGATCAGTGTGTGAGAAATGGACTTCAGAGAGTTTGCAGACCCTATAAATCCAGCAGGATGAGAGAAGAGCAGAGTTCAGAGCCTGTAAAAGCTATGGACTACTCAGGATTTCTTCTAGAGAGTTGGCTGGTAAAATCTTGGTTCCGTTGAAGCAAACAGCAAAACAACCCAGTGCTTCAACAAGGTCAGCATTTTCCTTCACAGCAGCAATTTTCTGAATCTTGGAAGCTCTTTGTTCTTTTTCTTTCATTTTCCTTTTTCCCCAAAATACCCCTGGAAGCGCACACTGATTTTCCACTGCCTGAATCTCTAAGAGGAGCGAGAGTTACTTTGGGTAAACACATAGATTCCCCTCAAAATCAGCTTCTGCCCTGTTGCACAAAGCATTGGGTTCTCTGTAAAACACAGGTTGAGATCAAGACCTTGATCATGAAAGGAGCCAAGGCTGAAGGATCCCACATTAGTCCTAGACTGGATGGTCCAGCACCTACTCTGCCTTTTTCTGAGGATACTGGAGCTTTGCTCCCACGTGATACCCTGCACTTGTTGAACACAACAAATAGCCTTCCTCCATAAATTCCACTTCTCTACCTCTTAATCCTTTACCAGGTGGGATTATTTCTTCCCTAAAATCCCTCCAAAACAACTCCTTGCAACTTTTTCAATCATATGCCAGAATGACAGCGTGGTGGGATGCGAGACCACTGGAGAACAATGCTTGTGGGATGAAACGGGGACAGCCTTTGTAGAACAAGAAGAAATTGTGATTTAAGCAGCTCACAAAGCAAAGCAGAGAACAAGATGAGCAGAATGGCCCTTGAGGATATGATCCTCATATATCTGTTTTGCCACGTTGCATGGCCAAGACAATCTAGAGCCTCAAACAAAGCTTCAACAAGTCTTTTCCTATCCACCTGCAGATTCCAGCTGCAGATGGATAGGAAAAGATGAATGTAAACTACGCATGATATAAGAAAGAAACTAAATATTACCTTCACTGAAAATGACAAAAAATAGCTGGGAAAAAGAGAATTGCAATCTATGCTACAAGAACTTCCACAGTACTGAGATTTATATGGAAGCATTTTCATTGTCAGAGAAGAAAACACTGGCAAGTGTATAATGAGATTGGGCACACAGCCACAAAGAGTTATGGGCTGCTGTTAATTAAGGAGGCATGAATTTTAATGCCATGTGACCAGAGAGAACAAACTTGTGTATACCTGTTGCCTTTGCAGACCCCATTTTTCATTGTGACATGCTGTTTTCCTCAGTAGAATTGAAAACATGTAATCAAACTTCTAAGAATAAGAGACGCAGGTTGTGTAAAGGGTAATGGCTTTTGAAACCTGGTCTTATTTTCACAACCAATTCCTGAAGGGTTTCTTCACAACTTTCCTAACAGGAACTCTACTGTTGGAACTGACCCCCTGCTTCTCAGTACTTCGGATGGTCATCTTACTATAAATTAATATTTTGCCCTTCTGAACAGCTTTACCACAGTTGCAATGAGAACGTTCCACACAGCCTGCAACCTTCCTGTATTCTCATACAGTTATGAGCAAGAACTCTCAGTACCATGTCATCATATTCTGTTATCCAATTTGGAGAAGGGATTATTAAAAAGCACCCAGCATTGATTTACCTCTACTTTTACAGACTCCCCTGGTAGGCCAGTTCGTGCTGTGAGCAACCAGGGAAGCTGTCCAGCATCACAGCTTCAGAGGATCAGCATTTTGCTTGGGGACTTCTGGCTGATCTGAGTGCATGTGAGGGGGAAGGTGGCACCTTTTGCATTAGCCTGACCTCCATCACAGCTGAAAACATCTTTGCTATCAGCAGCAAGCAAATACTGACCACCTTTGAGAGACCCCAGCAAGCCTTCTATCACACTAATATAAAAACTTGGGGAAAAAAAAAAGTGTTCCATACCTTAAATTCCTCCAATATTTTGTAATTTTTTCCATGATATTCACAAAAGTTTTTCACTTCCTTGCATTCTGGACAGCATCCATTGTGTTCCACTTTTGTACACTTTGGGTGGATTTTAGGGCATTCGGGTTGGTCGCAAACAGGTCCATCCTCAGTACAAACGCAGGGACAGTTGGAATGCCCCGGGAAAAAGCGTTCTCCCAGTTTGTACACAAAGCCACTGTCATCCACACAACCCTTCCCTCGGTAGTCATCAAAGATCAGATTGTCATTGCTGGAGGTCTGGTCCCCTTCATCGGCGGGGTAGTCTTCGTGGTTGATGGCAGCCGACGTGACCAAGCCAGGGATTACAAACAGCAGTATCCAGGCTTCATGGATGTGAAGAGCCATCCCCCTCCTCAGCTTCTCCATGGGATCTCAGGGCCGGATAGAAACAGCTGCTTCCATAAGGAGACCAGTGTCGTGGTCTGAAAGCAAACATTTTTAAGTGAGAATTCAAAGTATTAAGGAACATCAACTAATAAGGGCTGTACCTTCAACCAGCATGAAAGAATAAATCAGTGCTTTCAAACTGTGCAGATAGCTATCACTGCTTCATTTGGAATAAGCCTCTCCTGAGTTACGTGTAATGAGAATAAAGCACATGAAATACATAAATTAGACACACTTCTGTAAGTGTATGCCCACAAAACATCTCTATACAAACGATGGCTCAGAGAATCACCTCATTTTTATTTCCCTTGTGTGCAGAGTTTCCTGTTGCACCAGAAGTTACAGCAGCTGCCTGGAGTTGCATGGGCACGGACAGCCCAGAGGGATTTGAGCCCCAGCTTAAGTGTGGCCTTTACCTCCTGCTGTGGCCATCGGTCCTTCTGTGTGGCACAGTTCATCAGAGGGGGGCTGAAGAACAAGGGAAGCACACTCTGCAGGCAGATCTGCATCCAGCATAGAAGATGGAGCTGGACTGTACGCGGCGCATGAGAGGTGGAGCAGCAGAGTTTCACATGCAGCATTTAGGAGAAGGAAGAGGAGCTGCCTGGTCTGCCAGCAGCAGGACTGTATGATCCTGACTGAACACACGACGCGATTCTCCTCCAGTATTCAGCATTCCGGTGCTTCCCTGGGAGAAACGCTGAGAGCAGGATGCTAAATGCCTGTGTGGTGTGCAGAGCTGCTGAATCGTGGCTGGAACCTCACTAAAACTTCGGGAGCACCGCAGCACTGCCCAACCTGGCCGTGCTCAGCTCCACAGAGGGACAAAGAAGCTCTGCCTGGCCTCAGGGCTGAGCTCGGAGAGAGGCTCCGTGCATCCCTGGGTGTGCGATTGGTTGCCTGCCGCGCCACATCACCGCCCAGCCCGCGAGCAGCAGCTGTGCTGTGGCTTCTGACCCCTCCACAGAGGACCAGGCAAAGTGCTGCAGCAAACTTTTCAGCGAGATAAGATGTTAGCTTTGCATTGAGGAGGGGAAGCACTCACCAAGCACGGCTTGTCTGCGGGCAGGCAGACGCACAGCGCACAACGCGCATCGCCTACACAGCCAAACGTGCCCCCCTCCACCCCCAGGGGGTATTCCTTCAGCACTGGGATTTTAGACGACCTGCAGATGTTGAGCAATTCATTCTCCTTAGCTGAAGGAAAGCAGCAGTGGCAGCAAGCTTTACTCCTGGAAAAGCAGTTGAGGGATCCTGTTGACAAAGCAGTTTTTCCAAAGCCACAACAGAGGGAGACACCGGATATTACACAAGCTTTATCAAATTCAAAAGATATCTTCTTAATTGAAGTGCTAGCTGCTTTCCTAGCACAAGGACCTGGCATCCTCTTACACCTGCCAGCAGCACCTATGCTGTTTGGGATTTGGGAGGTTCATGCTGTTCTAGCTGGCTTCAAAGTGGATGCCCACCTAAATGCTACAGGTAGGTTGCAATACTGCAGATTGGTGGATATTTAGGAAACAAACAAACAAACACAACACAGCAGGAGAAAATGAAGTAAATCACGTCTGGGGAAACATGGAACAATGGAGAGAAGGTGCTGAAGTTGGAGGAGGGAGCTCTCCAAATTAAAAACCAAAAGTTCTCTGAAGCTCATAAATAAGAGCACAGTGTTTCCTACAGCTCGTGGCTGTCCCACAGCAACTGCCAGGTGGAGATCAGACAGACTGCAGGCAGCTCGCACCGACAGACTGCAACAAGTAAACAAGCGCCGCTCTGCTCGCAATTAGTTTACAGCCCAACTTTCTCATCATTTCTCATTGGGAGAGGAGCCAGGACCATCACTAAGTGCCTGATTAAAACGCTTCCATCCACCGTCCCTCGCCCCTAGTGAATAATTCACACTTACCTAATCAGGCTCGGTCTGAAAGCTGCGAGGGGTCACAGGCCAACATGGACTAAAAGGTTAGACAAAAATTAGTGAAAGCAGTTCTTCCTAATCACATTTTCAGCGTTGACTCAAGGACAATCCCTTCTCCTCCACCTCCCATCGCAAAACGCAGGAAAGCAGCAGCCCAGCAACCACGGCATGAGAATTAAGCTTTCACCCGGCGCCGAGGATTCAGAGCGAGCAGCGGCGCGGCGCTCCGGAGGCAGGGATGCCGTGGAGAAACCCCGATGCCAGCAGCGCAGTCATCGCAGAGAACTTGGGCTGGATTTCCTCAGGTCTCAAGTGGAGGGTAGGGAGACAGAGCAGGGGGGGAGGGAAGAAGGAAAAAAACACAACAACAGAGAGATCCCCTCCCTATGCCCAGCGGATATCTTGCAGTGCAGGATTTGCCACAGCCGGGGAAGGAGGGGGGAGAAGCGGGGCGCGGGGGCTGGCGAGGCGGCGGGCAGGCAGAGGGAGGGCGGAGGAGCCCAGCGCCCGGCGGGCCCCGCTCCCCTGCGGGGACTCCCCAGCCCTGGGGATGGGCATGGCTGCCCCACCCCCTATTAGTGATAATAATAGTAATTAATTATAAAAAAAAAAAAAAAAAAAGAAAGAAAAAGAAAGGAAAAAAATTTTTTTTTTTTTTTTTTGAGGGCGGGTGGGAAATAAAAAGAAAAAAATAATAAAATAAAAAGAGGGAATGGGGGAAAAAAAAAAAAAAAAGAGGAATCCAGCTGCGGGGAGAGGCACGCAGCCCTGCGGTGATCCCACTGCTGTCAGTGCTGCGCTCCCCAACTCGGCCTCCTTCCTGCCCCGGCGGCGGCCCGAGCGGTTGCTGCATCCAAAATCCCACCTTGCTGCATTATTAAAACTTCCCGTCTTCCCGCAGGCTGGAACTGGGGAGCCGTGCGCTGGTGGCTCCGCTGCGATACGCTCACAATCGATCTCCCTGCAATTCGGCTGCTCTGTCATTAGGCGTCATTGTAAAGCTATTTCTGCCCGAGCGACCGAATGAGGGATGCTGGATGCTGGGGAAAACAGCGTAAAGAAAGCCAAACCGGGGCTTTTATTGGGTTAAAACGCAAGGTAACACTCCTCTCGAGCAACTATGCCTCCTGCAAACAGTATTAACTATGGAAACGCTTCGCTAAGCCCTCTCTGCTACGCTGTTCTTCCCACGAAACACCTGGAGGCTCATCCTTAGACCCAGACACAGACAGTGCCGTCGGCAGCCCCCGAGAGCAGCAGCTCCACTGGGCGATGGAAGGCCACGCTCTGCACTTCTGTCTCACCCTGGCCCCGCAGGCTATGGAGCTGGCCCAGCTCCGGCTGCACAATCTTCACAGCCCCATCGCTGCTCGCCACGGCCACGGTGCGACCTGGAATGGAAACACAGAGCAAAGTTAGCAGGCTTGGCAAGGGCAGAGGTGCTGGGAGTTTGGAGCTGGCGGCTTAAAGATGAACCACGTCTTGCGTGCTCCCGTTTGCTGAGATAAATGATGGGAAAGTTGACTAGATCAATGATAATGAGATTGGATTCAGAGTGATTAAGTGAATCTGGAGACCTGGGTATGCTACTCATTAAGGGCACAGCTATTCCACTTGGGTGCAATTATTTAGGGCCAGATTCTGACACGCAGGCTGAGCAGCAGAGAAGCAGATGCTCCGCTGATAGCTGGAGGTATCAGAATCACGCCGTCACGCTGCTCTTCTTGGACAGCGCTGCCCTAATGGAAAGGGCAGTTCTCAGCCAAATTGCAGAGAGGTCGGGCATCCAGCTGAATCGAATGCCCTTCTCCCTCTGAGCCTTATGGAAAAGCCTTACAACAGAACTAAAGCTAACTAAGTCAAAAAGGTTCTAAAGAGTCTCCGCTTTCCACGTGCTTACTGACAAACCAGACAGACCCAGGTTTCATCACTCCCAATGATGCATAAAGTCAGCTGTCCTCCTACTTTAATACCAGCATGGGTACCAGGTGGAAAGCAACGTGTTCAGCACATTTATTTACCCTGCCACCAGATACAGGCTCCCTCCTTTTGGAAACTAACTGTAATAGTCATCAGTCACCCATCAGAAGTTAGTTGGGAAGAATCCGTCCTCCTAGCGTGAATCCCACGCAAGCCATGGTGTTGGCTGTGACCACACAACGTGTTGTTCATCCAGGAAACACATCGTCCCGCCACTCAACCTAACTCACAACAGTGATCGTCACACTGGCTCACTTGACAACCTGGGAAGCAAACCAATGCCACTTCTCCATCTTTCAAAGCAAACACAAGTCTAAAGGCTGCTCTCAAATGCGTCGGGAATACTTAAGCACACGTTACGCTTAGTGTAGTCATGGATGCCTGTGCAGGAAAGGCAAATGGAAGGTGGAGCTAACCATGATAAATACGCCCTATTTGCAAACCTTTACAACTACCCAGTTTCCTCATCTAGAACAAAGCCTGACACAGCAAAGATCTGTAGGATGGATTAGAGTGTCCAAAGCAGCAGATGTGAATATTTATTACAAACTCTCTTCCAGGAAGTCTTTGCTGACAGAAGCGCTGCATATGGATTTCACTTGCAGCCAGGCTCTCCAGGCAGTAACTGGGATGACTCCTCCAGAAGCCAAATAAATGCCATTTTGCCTGGAGCCCTGACACTGCAACAGCTGGGCAGGGGGTTAATGTCACTTTCAGCCTCCTCAAAGCCATAATGAAGTACTTGTTAAAAACAGAGAAGGACAGGAGGGAGACAAAAACAAAGGAAGGCTTGGACAACTGCAGCTTGCCAGTAGCTTATGAGGTGCAGCAGCAAACGGCACATCTCCCCATGCCAGGGAAAGGGCTTGGGTGAGCAGGGCAGCCCTGGCGAGGAGTAGTGTCTCATCTCCCATACATTTGGTGCCTACCACCCCGTGATGCACTGCTGCTGCTGGCTATGAGCACAGCAACTCCTTGCTCTGTAGCAGAAGGATGCACTGCAAATACAGGCAAAGAGGGGAGAGGAATGCGCCAAGTGAGGTCGTGTTCTGACACCCATTGTCACCGCTGATCTACGCACCCATAACACTTTGCTCATTATAATGTAAATTTACTCCCCCTTTCCTTCCATAAGGAGATATTTCTTTTTGGGAACAAATTGTGTTTTATTGCTCTTTCAAGACAGTTTCCAATTAGGAAGCCAAACAAAATCTATTACGTAATCGTCATGCGAAGCCCTGTTTAGATGAAGGACGCTTCCTCATGCACTAACAAAGGCACTTTGATATAGCACTCAGAGCAAGACAAGAGCCTGGAGATAACTGTTCCTTCATACACCTTTGGGTAAATTGTCAGGTGGGGCAGGTCTGTGCAAATCCTCTGTGCTCAGCAGGTAATGCAGAACTGCATCAAAATGAACAGTTTCTGATTCGAAGATGCAGAGCACCTCCAGATCTCAAACTCAAGGTTGCAAAGACGTCCAGCTTCATGCAAAGCCGCTGCAGATCTGCTGGTACATCCACAGACCAGCAAGACAGGGAGCTAAACCCAAGCTCCAGCTCATTCCTCCTCCTCCACTTGGCAGCAGGAGTGATGACAGAGCACACTGCCATACCAAAGAGACCCTACGGTAGCAGCCCTTGTAGCAATTACATCTAATCTGTTGTTGCCCGTTACTAGAACAGAGGTACTAATTTTTCTGATGTACCCCTATTACGTCCTTAGAATAACATAAGCTCTGACCATCTGGTCATTTGCTCCAAAAAGCATGCACTGAGTTAGAAAAGGTAGAGAGAAAAGCAGCAGAAGCACTGGAAGGCATAAACGACTGTGCAAGCAGTCGCCGAAAGGGATGGTGACTTACCCCAGCAAAAATATCTGTGTGCTAAAAAGTATTTGGCTGTCCATCTTTTCTTTCTATGCACACTTGCTCTGCAGTCAAGCCCAGGATGCTGCTACATTTCCCTTTTAGGGACCCACAGAGGAATCAATTGCTGAGCCACCTACTGGGTTTAGTAGTCCAAATTGTCACCCACATGGTGTGGACAAACCCTTGACTGTTTTGGTCCCTTCCAACCCAAACTGTTCTATGTTTCCATGAATCCCACCCCACCTGGAAGCCGTGATGCAGCCCACGAAGCCGCCAGCAGATGGGACGTGGTATTTCTGCACATACCTTTTGGGATGCAACTGAATTTCCCAAGTGGCCAATGCCTCTCGGCTCCTTTTGTTTCCAACATTACAGCAAGCTCCTGCTGCACATCTCCAGCCCCAGCACCCCCCAGAGAACAGGCTCCGTTCCCAGCACCACACAGTGCCTGGCCAGGCTGCCACCTCCAGGCTGGCAGTGCCCTTTGCTTTGGGCATTGATGAATTCCTAAGGCAGTTCTGCTCTTCGGGCTGGAAAAATATTCCTGCCTCATAAAAGCAATCAAAGTCACCCGTGCCTTTTTATTCCTGGTACTAAAGACATATCTCAATCTTGTTCTCAGAACAGAACTGGACCTTAAAATCAATTAGCACCTATGTTGCTATGTAGATACTATCAGAGCTAAAGCCACATATGTAGATACAATACAAAACCCATCTTCTAATTTGAACTGGGAGCTAAATTTAAAATACTGGCGGGCACATTGAAGCAATGGAATTGGTGACTGCGTTTCTTCAGAACACAAAACCAGACAAGATTAATTTGCTGGGTTGATAGAACCAAATTACTTGGGGTAGAGGGAACAAGACCTGCACTTGTCAAAAGACAGCCTGACAATTTATACTCCATAAGGTCCTAATAGAAATCACAGCCACAATTACTGTCCTCTTTGTAAAATGAATTTTGAATGAAACCTTGCCAAGACAATTCAGTAGTGCTTTGTGGGAGACAGCGATACCACTGGGTTGGGAAGGCAGATCAGGTTGCGGGCACTGAGCTCCTCAATTAATAAATGCTGTTGGCCAAAGTCTTAAGATTTCACCTTAACACCACTGCAGCTGGGTTAACCCAACGGTGGGATGCTCTTGTTCAGGTGCAGAGCAGAACAAGGAAAGAGAAAGGGAGAGAAATCACCTGCGTGTAGCAGCAGCAGTGACACCCAGAGTAAGGGATACTGGATTTGGGCAATTGCTTTCAATGCGGTCGTGGCCACTATTTTTAGGGTTTATTGTAGATAATTCAGACGTAGTGACTTTGCCAATTTCAAAACACTTAGGCTGCCTAACTGTAAGCAAAGCATTCATCTTCAAAGACGCAAGCCCAGTTATTTCTTGAGTCATTAAAATTATGATCTCGCACGGATTTAAGACATTCTGTTTAACATAACTTCATAGAAAGACCTGGGACCATTACTGACAGCAAAGATGAAATAACGTATCAAAGAATGAAAGAAAGAAAAGCTTTGATCAATAGGGAAATGATTTTTATACACATCAGAACCAATTTAAAGAATTCTCTAGGATCAATTTAGATAGACAGAAATGCTTCTCAGCATTTATTACCTGCAGAGGGAATATTGATCCCATTCATTGATTTCTCCTGTGTGCATAGAGCAGCACCTGTTTTTGGTTCTGGTTTTTGTTTTGAAAAGAAAGATGCCCCAAAATGGAAGGTATCAAGAAACGACTTAAGGACTTCCATTAATGGTTCAACCAGCGTCATTACTCAGAACTTCTCAACTCCAGCCCAGAAAAGGCACCTGATTGTTAGTCGATACAGAGAAGGGTTTTGCTGAAACCATGCTCACCGAGGGCTACTAATTCCTTAATTTTTTTCAAGGAATTTTTGCTCAGGATAATATTTGATATTATTATTATATTACCACTCAGCCCTGCTGGATTACACACTCCCTCTGCTCGAGGACCTTTAGTCATCAATAGAGCAGCAGCCACGTGCACTGACATGACAGTCACCCAGCCCAGGGGGCCTCAGAGGGTCAGGGCACCTTCCTGCTGCCTGTAAAAGATACAACACCCCAGTCCCTGCCTCAAACAGTCTGCCATCTAAGCTTAATTTAAAAAACAAAACAACAACCACAACAACAAATGCAGAAAATAGATCAGGGAGGACAAGGCTACAGGCAATTATGAGCTTAATTAGCCATGATACTGCTGCCTTGCCATAGCAAAATGTTTTATGGGCATCCTGGCAGCCGCAGATGACTGAGTCTGTAGTCAGGTCTATGCACAGCACCATGCAGAGGTACTCAGACTGATGATGCACTGCTCCCCATGCTCAATGAGATCAGGAACACGCAGCACACCCAGAGCATCCCCAGCCTATGGAACCCCTGCCCAACCTGCACACAGCACAGCACCACAGCAGCCTTCTCACCTCCCAGTGCTGTGGCAGAACACCTGCTGGGATGCTGGGATACTCACCTGGGGAGCAGGAGGAAATCACAGAGAGGCTCTGCAGCGC